AAAATATATATTTTTCTGCTTAAAACAATATAAACATATACATTATATCTAATCTAGAAATTAAATGAAAATTTATTTAAAAAAAAGAAATGAATCAAATTAAAAAATAAGAATGTAGTGCCATGATAGTTGGCAAGGGAACATTTTCTTGTAAGACTTTCTTAGCCAGAATTGCCGTGTTAGCCATCACAAGATCCTCAAACGCCAAGTGATATAATTGGCCTCCAACTAATTGTAAATAATTTCAATATTTTATGAAACGCAAAAAAAAGTTGTATAAAATTTTTTCTCTCTTTACTTTTTCAGAAGGGCTTCGCACACCTGGATCTACTTCCCAACATTGTCATTCTATCACACTTGATTATCTCATTCGTTTTACTACTGATGACCACTTGGATTTACGGACGTGAACGCTTTCAATGCGATCTGCAATTTATGTTGGGCAAAACGATTTCGAGTTTTAAAATATTTTTAATACGATTTCTAACGCCAGCATTTTTTGTGCTAAGCATTGTGAGTAAAAATAAAATAAAAACTTTTGAAAATAAATTTTTTAGCCATTGCCTGCAATAAAATTTTGGACATATACTATCTATCATACACAGATTCAAACACTTTACTTTCTGGAACGGGACAACTCACCAACTGCACTTGTTATTGTCAGTCAATGTGTGATCTATGCCATAGCACCTGCCTATATGATTTATAAAATTTGCCAAACTACTGGCACATTGCGTAATAGACTGAAACAATGCTTTGCACCGCACGACTGGCATCCTGTCGATGCTGATAATCGACGATTTTACGAAGAAATTATGGGCGTATCGGAATTGCTGGTAATGGAGAGCGGCGAAGAGCACTATGCTGTGAATGCTTGAAAATTGTACACGCAAGCATAAATACGTTTATGATATGTTTTATCGATAGGTGTGGTAACCCTGCTGTATTATTAGACTGGTTTAGAACTAGTGCTAAAGTAATGCAAAAAAAAATTTTCCCAATTTATTGCAGGGAAATTACATTAATGTGGAATAAAACAACGATCAGCCATACCATACATTTGTGTGTATGTATGTCGGTATTTGCTTGTATGCAATTGCTTAGATGTGAATTATAGTAATAATATATGTATGTTAATTACGAATATACAAAATACATATGTATGTCTGTATGTAGTTTTTTTTTAAGTGCGAATATAGAATTTTTTAGTAATGTGCGTAGTTTTTTAAGCTGCCTTTTTTATAAGAGATTATGAGTCAATTTATATACATACATACACGATTATATTGTATTGAAGTGATATACCAGCTAAGAATACTCGATTATACTAATGCATGCATGTGTGTAGAATTTGAAAAAAAAAATATAATAATGTATATATAGTAATTACGTAAAATAATTACGTATTTAAATATAATGTGTATGTTTTTTCAATGTCAAATGGGCTGAAATAGATTAAAAACAAAAATGCTGAGAATAGTGTACTACAGAATTTTTCATTTCCATATGTTTATAACCATTTTGTTGGAGGAGCTGCATTGCAATTTCGCTTAAAATATTTTGTTATGAAAATTATTTTAGAACTTTCAGCTATACAATTGGCATCGACCAGAACTAACCATACAGTTGTAAAAAATACGGTATAAAAACCAAACAATTTACATCAGCCGTATATATGTACATATGTAACTCATAGTTAGTCCTCCCATTTGCATCAAAAAGGTAATATCGCGTTATTTAACTAGCTACACTAATAGGGCAATTCTGGCAACTGTCTTTCAACTCACCACAGTCTTTCGAAAGACAAAAATCTTTCCTAAGGCAATTGTCAATTCGGGCAACTATCTTGAGATCTCTTTACTGTCTTTCGAAAGACTAATTTAAAGATCTGCTAAGAGGAGGTCTTAGCGTTATGCTTTTCGCCTTTAACCAATAAGTTTTTTAAAAATTTACTCAAAGTAAAAAAAAACTTATATATGGGCGATTCCACCGTCACGGGTTGGACATTTGTACATAAAAAATTTTCTTTCTTGTTTAAATTTAAGTATAAAGTACTCAACAATTCTACAGTTTGATAAAGCTACACCTAATTGACTATTATATGAGTTATTACAAAATACGAAAAGAATTCCTGCTTAATTTTATATGGAAAAAATTTGATTTATTTCTTCTGTCACGGGTGGGACAAAAAAAAGAACCTGCTTTTTGGAGCAGATATATTTTATGGAAACTCTGCGAATTTATTTCACTTTTTTGTGCGAACTTGATGTCTTATAATAAAACAAAGAACCAGGAACACAAAAAACAAAGCAAAAACTACAAAAAATTGATTGCATTATTATACAAAAGATCCGAAATTCCTCGGTCACGGGTGGGACAACGGTTTGTCACGGGTAGGACACGTACGAATTTTTATATGAAAGGGAGCTTTTAGTGTGGTCCATATATAAAGTTTAGCTTTTCTTTGTCACGGGTGGGACAAGACCAATACTGCTCAATAATAACTCATAATATGGATAAAGCAGTCACACAATTTGATATATGACACAATTTTATTAAAAGCAGATGAGTTCTGCTATGTATATATTATTCTTACCAAACACTTGAATTATGCATCGCAAATTATTTGACAGTGCATTCAACACAACCTACTTTAAACTCAATCAAAAAATTTACTTTGAACTTCATTTCAAAACGTAAAACAAGCGAATACAAATGCATTTAAAGCTTTAATTTGTTATTTTTTGGTTGATACTAGATTTTTACATATGTCTTATTCACACGTTTGTTAGTTTTATAAAGAAAATAATTTTCGCACTGAGGTCCACTTTCCCATGCAACCTCCCATATGTAAAATTAAATAAAAAAATTTAAATAAAGCAAAAATAAATAAAATAAAATCTAAAAAATAAGTTAGAAAAATAAAAAAAATAAACCATAAAAGAAGAAAATAGTACCTAAAGGTTAAATAAATATAAATAATTTTATTTTTAGAACTAAATCTGAAAATTAAACAAAAATTAATTGAAAAAGAGAAAAACAAATTAAATAAAAAAAGAAAAAATAAATTAAATAAGTTTCTGAAATTTAAAGAAATTAAAAAGTATTTAGGATTTTTTAAACTATAAAATCTAAAAATTAAAAGAAAATCTAACTAAAACACATTGGCCCGTAGTTATAGTCGAAAGTTAAAACCTCTTATAGTTAAAATTAATCTTTAAGTTTAGAGCAGGCTTTAAGTTTTAGTCAGTTATAGACATGTTAGAGGCAGGTTTTTGCTAGATTGACACAAAACAGAGCCATTAATATAAAATGAAAAAAGTAACCAATCGGCATTGGGAAAACTTTGTTATTTTAGCAAGTTCACCCTGTGTCAACTGACTTTTATAAATAATTTTGAAAATGGCGCAGCAAACTGTAAGTAAATAACAAATTTTTGTAAAATATAATTTATTAACGTAAATAATTTAATTTTTATAGGAAGTGAAAAGAATTCGTGAAGTTAATTGGACTGCTGCTGAAAAGATCTGCTTGCGGTCCTCCTCTTTCATTTGAAAAGGATCTTGGCGTTCTTTGTATGTTTTCCTATTTCTGGTTGCGATTGTATCATCCAAAATCGCAAAATCTCGAAATATCCTTTGATTGGGAAGCATATTCTTCAAATTAAGACCACTTTTGTATTTTCTCCGCAAATTTTGACAGGAAAACGTCTACTTAGAGTACGCTTTTAAGATTTCAAAACCTCGTCAACCTCATTTTAAATTTAAAACGCCGTTTTAAAGTTAAACGGTCTTTTAAGTTGACTATGACAGTGTGAAAAGAGTGTTTACCTTAATATACAGTTTTAAATGTTAAAACCTGCCTCTAACTTGTCTATAACTACGGGCCATTAAATTTAAAAAAAGAAAAGATGAGTTTCTAAAAATTAAATTAAATTAAAAAAATATTATTATTTTTAAAACCTTAACATCTAAACATTAAAAGTGAAATAAATTGAAAAAAAAATTAAGTTAAAAATATTAGACAAAATTAATAAAATAAATTTCTAAAAATTAAATACAACTAAAATATATATATATATTTCTTTTTAACTATAAAAATTAAAAATCTAAATTTAATTGAATAAAAAAAAATAATTTGAAAAAGAAAATTCATAAAATAAATTTCCAAAAATTAAATAAAACTAAAAAATATACACACCTCTATTTTTTCTTTTTCAAATTATAAAAACTAAGAATTAAAAGAAAGTTAACTCAAAAAAGAACAAACATTTAATTTAAAATAGAAAAAAGGTCATAAAAATAAAAAAAAAAGATTAAGAAAATATTATTCTTTTTAACACAATAAAATTTCATTAAAGGAAAACTAAATTAAAAATGAAAAAAAATCATAAAATAAATTCTAAAAGTTAAATAAAACTTAGAAAATACTTATCTTTTCTTTTTAAAAGAAGAAATATTAAAACTAAAAAAAAATTAATAAAAATTAAGAAAACATTTATTTTAAAAAAGAAAAAAATAAATAAGATCCTAAAAATTAAATGAAATTAACAAATATTATAATATTATTCTATTCATTAAAATAAAAGTAAAGTGAGAAA